GAGCTCTGGACTGGGGGGGGTGAGAGGAGTGAGCTCTGGACTGGGGGGATGAGGGGGGTGAGTGGGGGTGAGCTCTGGACTTGTTCTTCATCATTTTAATAAATTGTTTTCCCTATGTATTGAAAATAATGTTGTGCATCTCGTTTCAACAATCACCCGCCAGAAGTCCACTAGATGGAGACAAATTAAAAGAATGCTCCAGTGTCTCTTCCGATCGCAACATGGCTGGGCAGCTTGTTCCATGCTCCCACAACCCTTTGCTTAAAGAAGTGCCCACAGTTCTTAGATGTTAACGTCCTTGAAGAGCAGCAGTTTCTTTATTCTTGGAAGTCTTTTTAACTGGCTTTCGGGCAGTTCTGACAGTTCGAAACCCCGACGCACTGCTGGTCTCCATACCAGGCAGTCTGCTCCCCCTCAGACAGTGTGCACGTGCGCGGGGGCCGGTGCACCTTGGCTTGCGTGCGATCGCTCGTTTATTTTGGTCCGCTCTCAAAGAAGACACCCCAGCACCATCCCTTTCAGCAGGATGGAGGTGTATGTGGCGTACAGTAATCACAGTAACGGTATTTAAGATAATTATGGTACATCATGCTAAAAAAAGAGCGATGAGTAATTTCTGCTAAATTGGGAGCCGTGAGGGCGCCGCAGTGGTTAGCGTCACTGCCTCGCAGCGCCGGGGCCCGTCAGGTGCTGCTGCTTTAAAGAGACCCGGAGGAGCAGCAGGGACCCCAGGCCACTTGAGGACCCCTGTCTCGCAAGCTCTTCTAGAAATAGCATGGATTGACTGACCACACGAGTTTACTTAGGGGATCATCTTGGGTCTGTGTGACATTAGCTTCTCTTTACCTTGAAGGAAATGCAGGGAGTTCTGTAAAGTAGTGGGGAAAAAAAATTACTGGTGTTTTTTGCTTTCTGAGACAAGGTGTTTTTTTCCCCCACCTCCTTATGTTGGACATTATTCCTATTTTATTTTTCTAAAGTCGTTTGGACAAGGACTCATTCCTGTCCCATATTGTCCCAGCTCCTGTCTCTCTTCGTGGAGATGCGCTAGACAGATGGATTTAGGGGTCCCTGGCTGGAAACGGGGGTTCTGAAATGGAGCGGGCTAATTCTTGCCTCCCTGTCCAGGCCTTCGTGGATAACTACCCGCAGTTCAAGAAGATGTCCGGCACGGTGTCGAAGCACGTGACCGTGGTGGGGGAACTGTCGCGCCTGGTCAGCGAGAGGCACCTGATGGAGGTGTCGGAGGTGGAACAGGAGCTAGCCTGCCAGAACGACCACTCCAGCGCGCACCAGGTGAGTGTGGGCACCCCCTGCCTGCCCTCCTGCTCACTGCGGCGACAGGCCACGCCCGCCCGTTCCCTCGCCCGCGGCGACAGGCCACGCCCGCCCGTTCCCTCGCCCGCGGCGACAGGCCACGCCCGCCCATTCCCTCGCCCGCGGCGACAGGCCACGCCCACTAACCCAGTCGCTCACCCATGCATCCTTAATACAAGAACAATAGGAGACGCATTCAAAGTTCATATTTGGGTCCAGATACACCCAGGTAGAATCCTGCATTTGAACAGATCGAGACAGAAGGTTGTACTTCTTTTGGAAGAGGAGCTAGAAGTGCACATACTTTAAAACCAAAGCCATCATCGCATAGTGGTTAAACAAAGTTAGAATGGAGGATTAAGGATAATGGTTATACTTTATTTTATATTTTTTTTCCTGTTAACACAGCTTTGGAATTTTAACTCTTTGCTTTCCCTCTCCAAAGTCAATGGCCTAAGTAAATTGTGGGGAAGACGGTGTCTCCCGGAATCCCGATATTGACCTCAGTGTGATCACACTACAGCCACGCCGGGGTTTTTAGAAAGATAAGAGCTTTCACATTTCAGGAGCGCGTTTGGTAGCATTTACAACACGGAGATTCAGTTTTTTTTTTATTTGGGAGAATGTGTTCAAGCGTGCTGTACAGAAGATGTGTGGGCAGGTCACACGGAGGCGACTCTGCGCAGACACGCCCTCACGAGCGCCTCTTTTGGGAGGAACGCCTCCACAGACGCGTCTCTGGCTGGAGGAAAGGAAACAGCCAGAGTGTCTTTACGATCTGGCCTTGATCAGAAGGAGGAAGAGGAGGGGGTTGGGGTTTGAAGGAGTTAAATCAATTGACCCTGGGACAGGAGACAGGGGTGTACTTTGCCAGTATTTCCTTACACTTGCATAGCGCTTTTGTGGACACTCCCCTCAAAGAGCTTTACAGGTCATGGGGATCCCCTCCAGCACCACCAGTGTGTATCCCCCACCTGGATGATGCGCCAGTCCGCTCCCCACACACCAGCTCTCAGTGGGGAGGAGAGCAGAGTGATGAAGCCAGTTCAGAGAGGGGGGTTATTAGGAGGCCATGATGGGTAAAGGCCAGGGGGACATTTGTCCAGGGCACCGGAGTAACTACTCTTTTCAAGAAAAGCCCTGGGATTTTTAATGACCCCAGACAGTCAGGACCTCGGTTTTACGTCTCATCTGAAGGATAGTACAGTACAGTAAAACTGTGTTTCTCTAAAGAGAAACCGAGAGCCAGGATGCTCTGGAGCTTAAATGCTTTTAGGCACGGAGGTCTGTCTGTGCCCTGATGGATGGGCTCTGGGATTCCTCCTTCCCGGATGGCCTGGGACAGACTTCCTTCACTGCAGCCTGGTAGCCTATTCTTTCAGACTAATGCAGACGCTCAGGCTGGCCCATTGATCAGGAGCCGGATTGCAGACATTAGGGAGGGAGCCATCGGCCCTCCGTTTCCTCCAAAGTGTCTTTAACTTAAATTGATCAGCCCCACCTCCCGAGTGCAGATCCCCCCCGTCACTGCTGGTCAGAGCTCTCTCTGTGCTCTTCAGGGAAGCTCGTCACGATGAGACCGTGCGGTGGATCACAGCTCCAAGGGAAACAGGGACAGGAAGCAGCCGGTGGGGGGGGCGTGCGCTTATCGGCGGTTCTGAATGGCCACACATGGGCTGATCGGTCTGTCGGAGCCGGGTCTGCTCGTGAGGCTCGTCCCGCGCCACCGAAGGGCAGACGGGCCCGGAACAGGGAAGGGAAGGTTCTGGTGGGTTGACATGGCGCCCGCCTCAGGCCTGAGTATGACTGACTCTCAGTTGGGCTGACACGGTGCTGGAGGGAGAGACAGATCGGAGGGTGCGGGGGGGATCTGGGGTACCCCACCAGGAATAAAAAGAATTAAAAAAGGAGACCCCCCCTTCTCTAATGCAATAGTGTGGGTTTGGGGATTTCGCCATTCCGTTACAAACATTCAAAAGTGGGGGACGTTGGGAGCACAGCGTTGTTTTTCAGCAGGCTGGCTGATAGAGTTCTGCAGCTGACGGCTGCGATTGTCGTTCTGGGGCGGACAGTAAGAAGGGGTGACCCCCTGCCCCACTCCCTCTGCCCCCATTTCTAGAGATCGGGAGCGCTTGCAGGTTGTGCATCCATTAAGACAGTCCTTGTGTTTGATTAAGGCTGCCGTGGTTCCTGATTGGTCTTCTAACAGTTTACTGGGCATCATGTCAATCAAGGGCGTTCGGTTTCGTTCACCCCTCTTTTTGCCCCACAATCTGGTCCTGGTGAGCCACAGCTGTCCCCCCGCTGGCACAGCGGACCTGGTAGAGGAGACCCTTATACTGAGGCTCCTCCTCTCCCCAGTGGGCACCCAACCCTGGCAAAAAAACTTGTCTGTGGGCGGAGGGCGATTAAAATTCACGAAAGCGCACGACGCAGACCGCCGCCCCCAGGGCGACACTGGGAGGGCGGGGCAGTGCCGGTGACGTCCGGAGGGACGCGGGTGGTGACCTGAGGCCAGTGAGTGGGAGGCGGAGGCCGGCGGCTGGCCAGTGTCTCGGGACTGGGGGGGTGATTCAACACTGGGCCCCCCCGTCATCAGGCCACGCTGTCTCCTGTGCTGGCCTGATGCGGGCTGGGCTGGGTGGGGCAGGGAGGCGGAGGGGGAGGTGATCGTTATGGGCCAGCAGCTGATAGAATCCCTGAAACAGCACAATAAAGAGGCTGATTCTGCTGCCGTACCCCACCCCCGGGCCCCCCGCTCAGTCCTTTAACACTGAGCCCTTCAGAGAGCCGAGATCCCCCAGGACAGCTGACCCTGACGTCCCGTACTGGAGCACATCATGCAGCAATTGCACATTGCTTTGCTCTTAGTGCTTTTTAAAAGTACTGAAGACATTTTTAAAATTGCTACAAGACTGATAATAATAATTGCTTACACTTATATAGGGCTTTTCTGGACACTCCACTCAAAGCGCTTTACAGGTGATGGGGATCCCCTCCACCACCACCAGTGTGTATCCCCCACCTGGGTGATGCTCCAGTCCGCTCCCCACACACCAGCTCTCAGTGGGGAGGAGAGCAGAGTGATGAAGCCAGTTCAGAGAGGGGGGTTATTAGGAGGCCATGATTGGTAGAGACCAGGGGGGAGTTTGGTCAGGACACTGGGGTAACACCCCTACTCTTTTCAGCCTACAAAACAGAACTATGAAACCATAAACCAAAACACAAAATACATGAAACACATGGGGGGGGGGAAACAGAGAAAAACCAGCAGCCATATAAAGAGCTCAGACTCATTTATTGCTTTTCACTTTATTTTTTACCTGTTTTTTTTCTTAAGATAAGAAAAGAGTCTAAATCTGTGCTAGAACTAATCACAGATGGAATGGATGTGCAGAGTAGTCAGCGATGTGTGCATAGCTTAGTGTTCTTCGAAACATTCACGAAAGGCACCCCTGCTCGGAAGTGAATTCTTTTGACTGATTGTGGGCACGGTGCTTGATGTTTATGCTTTCCAGGGGTTTTCATTCTCCTACAGCACACCCAATACCAGAGAGGCACTAAGAATGTCCCTAACAAGTTCCTGAGCCATGAAGTACCCGTGCATTGGGCTGCGTGTACATTTACAGGAGCTCACATGGTATCACTGGGCCTCGTTTGCTGGCTGCTTCAATCACAGCGATCAGTCTTCCGCTCTTTGATATAGTGGTAGGTTCTCTCAGTATAGCGCCTTTCATCCTCTCAGTATAGCGCCTTTCATCGTGCGCAGCGTCCTCAAGCCCTTTCCAGTGAAGCAGCAGTAGCACGGGGTCAGACTGGGGTTTGAGGACGGCCTGGGGTCGCCTGGATTTTTTTCCAGCCCAGGACTTGATGACTTAGCCTGTCTAATGATTGAATGAGCTGCCTACCTGTTCTGCTCCTCGCCCGGCCCCTAGCTGACTCGTAGGTGAATAGCAGTGAATATTCTGAGTTGACAACAGCGAGGGACATGATGGACAGTCCCGCATGGCTAAGGTAGTGTCTAGTGTAATTGACTGCGCTGGGCGGGCCTAAAAACCAGGAGCCGAGTTTGACACCCTTGTCTGTCGTCTGCGGGTGTAAGCCATGTTTCTCTCCTTCTCCCCCTGCCTTCCCCCTGCCTCTCCTCGGCTCCTTTCCCCTCCTCCTCTCCCTCTCTTTCCTCCTCCCTCCCCCAGAACGTGCGCCGGCTCCTGCAGCACCCCAAGGTGACGGAGCTGGACGCGGCCCGGCTGGTGATGCTGTACGCCCTGCGCTACGAGCGGCACAGCAGCAACAACCTGCCGGGGCTGATGGAGGACCTGAGCCGGAAGGGCGTCTCCGAGCGCCTGCGCAAGGTGAGAGGGGGAGGGGAGGGGGCGCCCGCCTGGCTGGCCGGGGTGGAGACCGGGGTGGGGCAGCGGGGGCCTCCGATTGCTCCACTGCTGACTGCTCTGCACACCAGTTGAGCTTTACTGCCCCTTGGGGTTGCCAGTTCAAAGCCGGGACAGCTGCACCTGGGATTCCCCCAATTGGCAGAGATCCATCCGCTGGCGGTGGGGGGTTATTGGCTGCGATTGTGTTGGGCTTTTTGGGAAAGCAAAGATCTCTGCTGTCTGCTGGGCTGTCTGGCAGTGATGTCAGGCAAGCAGTGCTTGGCCTCACCCACACCTCGTGTGACACAGCCCTGAATCGGAGTTGTCAACAAAAGTAATTGAAGGTTCTGGGTTTTTCTGTCTCCTGCGTTGGCTTTGTGCTTGTTGGCAGTAGAAACAAGAACCCGAGGACGCCAGCAGAAATTCTGAGTGTGTGTAACTTGTTCTGGAAGCAGCAGGAACTTCCTTACACAAAGAGTGGTGGATGTCTGTAATTTCAGACTACAGCCGGTTTGCAGGAATCTTTTGAGAAACGGCTGGACGAGATATTTGACTCGGAGGTGTTCGCAAACAAATGAGCCCAGTGGATTGGGCCAGCTCCTCTTGGCTTGTCATCGTCCTGCTGATCTTTTGTCAGGCTCACTTTAATATCGCCTGGGCATTAGTTCTGGATGTTTCGCTAGGATTCGCCAAAGCTGGAATTTCAAGTGAAATACCAACGGACGTCTGCTCTTGTGAGCAGGCCTACCAGGGAGACCTCATGCCGGTGTGCTGGCACATCACTTAACGGGGTCCCCCTTGCTCTCTTCCAGATGGTGCAGTCCGTGGTGGAGTACGGGGGGAAGAGGGTGAGAGGAAGTGACCTCGTCACGCCCACGGACGCGGTGGCCATCACCAAGCAGTTCTTCAAAGGGCTCAAGGTTGGAAGACTGTTGCACCCCACTGCCTTAGAGCTCAGCTCCCCCCCACAAGTACAGAGCACAGAGAACTTCACGTGACCGTCAGTGGGCGGGCACGAGCAACTTATCCTTTCAGTGCGGAGAACCGAACTGCTTTGATACGCAGCTCTCGTTGACGAGACCCGGCGAATTCTGTACTGCAGATTTAAAATCATTCGGAATGCCTGTGTTTCATTTCGTGGGCGAGGACCGCGCTCAGTTTGTGAGGGATAATCTGCTGGAACCGCTGCCTTGCAACTCTGGGAAGCAGATTCAGTCGAATCAGGTCATAGGTCAGCTCCTCTGTCTCTTGTCCTACCTGGGGGGGGGTCTCAGCTGTCTCTCTCCCTCTCCCTCTGACAGGGGGTGGAGAATGTCTACACCCAACACCAGCCCCTGCTGCAGGAGACCCTGGACCAGCTGATGAAGGCCAGGCTGAAGGACAGCCAGTACCCCTACCTCGGACCAAGCACCCTGCGAGACAGGTAACCCCGCTACAGGGCTGGTCAGTGCTGCAGCTCACCGGACTAGAGGTGTCGTGCTGCCCGGGCTGGTTTATACCCTCCTGGCTCTTTCTCCCACTCCGGCCTGAGTGCTGGCTACACGTTCAGGGTAAAAAGAGACAAGTGGCCCCTGTTACAGGTTGCTGTGCTTTCCATTCCCTGCACTCCTTCTTAAATGCAGGAACAGTGGGGGAAAAACAATTCTGTCCTGAAGCAGCAGTTGGTTTCGAGGAGACCACTGTTCGAAAGAAATCGGTGGTTCTGTTTCGTGTTTTTCATGGGTTACAGGCACCAAGCAGGTTGTAGTTGTATTATTTAGGTACGTAACCTGGAATACTACTGAGTTGGTTGAGCTACCCGTGAAACGCGCACTCCGTCTAAATTTATCCTCCCTGACTCGGCTCTATTCCGTTAATTGTTACGGGAAAGGCCTCCTGCTCTAACTTGCTGGCAAAGTTTGCAGTCTTAGGGTCCTGAACTCTCTGCACACTGCTCTACTTTGACAGGTAGCTTCTCCGATACATCGTGGCTCTCGTGACCACAAACAGGAGCCTCACATGAAAGTTGGCAAAAGTCTTGTCTGCCTCAGCCGCCCGAGTTCAGAGGCTGTGACCTTTGTAAGAGCTGGTTTTAAATAGCAGGCAGGGCTGGGCTGGGGGGGGAGGGAGGGCTGCGGGAACAGCTGGCTGGGAATGGCGACAGCTGCGCTGAGGGAGGGCCGGTGCCCAGCGGAACCCGAGCCTGCCTCTCGCGCACCTGTCAGCCCACACGGCTGCTCGTGCCGGCCTGCCGGGGCAGCTTGGTGCAGGTGTCCAGTCTCCTCCGCACACCATTCAATTCAGGGTCGCTGGGGAGCCAGAGCCTGTCCCGGCAAGGAATGGGCGCAGGGTGGGGTACACCCTGGACAGGACACCAGTCCATCAGGGCAGACAGACACAAACGCACACTCACGCCAGGGTCCAGTTTTCCCAGAAGCCAGTTAACCCACCAGCAGGCCTTCAGTCTGTGGGAGGAAACCCACGTGCACGGGCGGAGAACATGCAAACTCCACACAGACAGCGCCCCAGGAATTGAACCCAGGGCCCCAGCACCGTGAGGCAGCAATGCTCACTAAGCACTGCGCCAGCCCTGTAACTGTTCAAGTGAAATCCAACACTATCACAAGTGCAATCCCAGGTTTTGTTCTATGGCCTGGCACCACTTTATTTTTTTGACTGTTTCCTTCAGTTGGGTTCTTCAATGTGGGGGGCACACCAATACAGGGTGCATGACCCCTGAACTCTGACCCCCCCCCCTCGTCTTCCCCTGTCCAGGCCGCAGGACATCATCGTCTTCCTCATCGGGGGGGCCACCTACGAGGAGGCGCTGACCGTCTACAACCTGAACCGCACCACCCCGGGGGTCCGCGTCGTGCTGGGGGGCACCACCATCCATAACACCAAGAGGTGAGTCCCCGCCGAGCAGCTGGCCGCGGGGGGGGGGGGTCTCGTAATTTGGTTGCTTTCGCCTGAGTGGTGCCCGTGTATGCTCCCGGGTACCCTGGGCCACCCTGTTCCAGGGCCCGCAGGACTGTCCCCATCCGACGTAGTTCTTGGGATGTTCAGATTCAAGTGGGGCCGTGGTGTTAAGATCAGATCACTTTATTGGCCCTATTCAATTTCTTGCATTAGGAATTTGTCTTTTCTCAGACCCCAGCTTGCTCTCCATGAGACACACAGACAGGGAGAGAAGCTGGGGGTCAGAGCGCAGGGTCTGCCATTGTACAGCGCCCCTGGAGCAGCTGGGGTGAAGGGCCTTTGCTCAGGGGCCCAGCAGAGTAGGATTCCTCTGCCGGCCGCGGGATTTGAACCGGCAACCTTCCAGCCACAGGCGCAGATCCTGAGCCACAGAGCCACTGCTCCGCCCCCAGTGTTGAATTCTGTCCTATTGAACCCAGGGCGGTTTTGGGTTATTAGCGATTTTCGTGTGGGCACAGCTTTTTACAGCCCTCCCTCTCTCTTCTCTTTCTGTTACTCCCTGTCCCTCCCCCTCTACGGCCCGACAATGGCCGTTTGTTGGCTGAGCAATTACAGCAATGTGTAAGAAGGCTTGTGATGGGAACCCCTGGGCGGGAGGCCAGGTTCTCCAGCTCGCAGGCGAGAGTGAAACACGATCTGGGGAGCAGACAGTCGACTCCCCTCCCCTCCTCTCCCCACCTGCTCCCAGGCACAGAGGCGTCAGGGCTGTACGGACGAAGCAGGCCAGACGCACACCTGTCGTGGAATCAGAGCTGCGCCCCAAGTGTGCACGGCAGCCCCCCTTACCGAGGCGCTCCGGTGCGCCTCCTACTGGGCATTCTGCATCCTGCAGCGCTCGCAGGTCCTTCACGGAGCCAGGGAGTGCTGGATTAGCCCCGATTAAGGAGATCTTTCGCCGCTTATCCAAGTCGCTTATTAACCCCAAAATGGTGTGGATCCCAATTTAGTCTTTTTTTTCCGGTGGTATTTTCGCAGACCTCTCTGTCACACGCTTGCTTTGCCTGTCCCGTAGTCTGACCCACAGCGCCCGCCCCGCCCCGCCCCGCTTTTGTGCGTGTGCCCCGTGCCAGCTCTGCTCTGCCCCTGCCGGGATTCGAACCCGGTCGCTTCGAATCGGGCGTGCTTCGCGCCAGGATCCGTAGGGGTGCTGACCTCCGAGGTGCCAGAATATCGGACCCTGTTCCGGTGCAGAATTCTGCAAGGGGGCAACATCTCTTCTGGAGCAGGGCCGCTCGGCGCGCTGAGCCCCGGTCTGGAGCAGGCTCGGCGCGCTGAGCCCCGCTCCTCTGCTGGCACCCCCACCTCTCCTTACCCTCCCCTCACTGCCGGTGGCGGCGTCATTGCGGAATGATAGATGCACGCCTGGTGTCACAGTAAGCTCGGCGTTAAAACTCCAAAACACAGCCTCACTTTCCACTGCCCTGTGTTTGCAGTCCTCTGGGGTGTGCAGTCAGCGTTGAGTGAATTTGCATCAGTTCTGAGAAACCTGGAATCACTTCAGATTTATATCGAGGTGAGGGCGATTGTGCAGTTTCTTGTTACCATCTGTGCTAAACCTGGCCTGGACGAGCTGCGTTAGGATCTGAGTCTCCGCGTGACCTTTTGTTTTGAGGTGTTTCCCTGTTTAAACCCCCCACAGACGGGGCTTAGTTTGTCTGCAACGCAGCGACGCGCATCAGGCGTTGGTCTTGTCTTGAAGAGAGCCGAGGACTATGTTAAGAGCTCTTCCTGCGTTTCCGATCGCATTACAGATAAAACCCCTCCTGCCCCCTGTTGAAAGAAGTGAGCCCCCTCGCTCTTTCAGACCTCTCGCCCGTTTCGTTTCCCATCGTCTGCGCAGCACCTAAATAGTTCCCCCACATCCAGCCCACGAAGGACATTTCCAGAGGTTGTCTTTTTGAAAAGGTGGATGGGGCAGCGATGGAGTGTCTGAAGTCAAAATGGACTTCGGACGAGACCACGAGGAAGCTGCCCCACCAGAGCTCCCCTCTTCCTTGTTGTTCCTCCGTTGGCGAGCAGCAGATTTTAAGCCGAAGTGATCAGTTGTGCTTCTGTCTGGTATTGCTGTTTCCTGGAAGCAGGTAGGCGCCTGTCTCCGCACTGGGCCTCCATTAGCTGTGATTTCCAGTAATGCTGGGTAGCGAGAGAGGGGGGCTGGCGGGGGGGTTATTGATTCGTGCTCAGCTGAGTGCTATCTTGTGACTCATTGGGTTCCCCCTAACTCTATTAGCAGGAAGAGAGCCCTTATCCTCAGAACAACAGCTTGCCTTTTATTTCCATTTTTCTTCTTTTGCATTTTTAATACCCTTCACTTAGCGTGTAAGTGACCCGCTGGAAGGGTCTGTGTCCCAGAGTCGAAGTCTGCGCAGAGAGCACAGAATCGTTTGCCAGCATTTTAAAGACCTCTTCGTTTGTGTAATTAACTCTCTCTCCCCCCCACACCCGCCATGCACACTTCCTTTAAAAAGGCCTCATTTTTTATTTTCTGCTGCTCTGCTTTGCTGCCTTCCTATAAGCCACACCCGGCCGAGTGGAGTTGTGATGTGGGGGGGACAGTTTATCAGCCGTGCATAAGCTTCAGAATGTTGCGGGATGTTGATTTTCCTCCCCTTCAGTCTGATCATTGGGTTGTAGGTAACCGATCTGAGACTTTTTCTGGTTCCTTGAAGGGTCCCAGAACATCAGTTTCATGTGCTTGGCTTTCCCAACCCCTGCCACTCTTTGTGTAAAGAAAGTGTCCCCTTATTTTCAGTTCCTCTTCGGTTGCATTTGTCTCTCCACGTCCTGAAGTCCCAGAGCAGCTGTTGTCTCCTGGGATACTCTGGGGATATATCTGTAAGTGAGCAGATCCCAGAGATTGTAGCAGGAGCCTTATTAATGCATGGAAAAAAAGGAACAAAACAGGGATGGTAAAAATAAACACTCCTAAACAAGGAGAAAACCTCCCACATTTTTACATTTCCTGAGTCAGATACAGGATTAGCTGTTGGATTGTAATGAGTAGATTTGTTGAGGCTGACTGTCGTTGGAGTGTTATGGAAACCACATGCAAGGTGTCAGACAAGGCATTTTTTCATTTACAGTCCATTAATTTGAGGTGCCTGCAGTTCTTCTTTCAGGCTGTGGGAGTGGAGTATTGTAGGACACCAGTTCGAGATGCTCGTCAGGTTTTTTAAGTTAGTGAGTTAGTTTCACGCCATATTGTGAAATCTTCTCTCGAAGTGCAGGCCGAGATGGTCACAGCATCGCTGGACTTGCCCATCTCTTTTGCAAAGGGGGCCAAAATGAACCTTAAAGAATCACATCCATCAGAATATTCCGAGACCAAGTTTAAGAAAACAAGTTTATCACCCTGCAGCTCCCAGCAGGCAGCCCCACTGAAGCCCAGCAGCTGTGAGCCTGGTCAGTACCTGGATGGGAGACTCCTGGGAAAGCTGAGGCTCCTGCTGGAAGAGGTGTTAGTGGGACCAGTAGGGGGCGCTCACCCTGCGGTCTGTGTGGGTCCT